TGAGGTCTAGTTGGAAAGAGAAGAACATATCTACTAACCTCAGCACTAAACAAAAATGCCATAATTAAAGAAGGCACTGAATTCTCCTTCCTTCTCTTGTAAACTTTGAGAAGAAATATTTCTCTATGTGAAATCTCCTGTAGTCAAAAGTTCTTTTTGCTTTGCCCTGGAGACTTTTACTGTATTGATTGTTTTTGCTTTATTTTATTTATTTATTTTTTAGTTTTTAGGCAATTGGGGTTAAGTGACTTGCCCAGGGTCACACAGCTAGTAAGTGTCAAGTGTTTGGTCTGAGGCCGGATTTGAGGATTTGAACTCAGGTCCTCCTGACTTCAGGGCTGGTGCTCTATCCACTGCACCACCTAGCCGCCCCTGATTGTTTTTGCTTTATAGGAATCCTAATGCTTTAATTCTGAATTCAACAAACCTTTATTAAGATGAAGGAGCTAGAAAGAGAAAAAAAGAGAGAATTTTCAGCTTCTAGGAACTTAAAATTTACCAAAGAGCCTGGGATAGGGACTAGACCTATGCTTTCTTCTTTTTTAAGTTAAATTTAATTTTTATTTTGAATTTAGTAAATATTATACAAAACAAGTGTTTCCATATATGAAGTAGGATAAAGAAAAATACAAAGGAAACTGTAAATCTCTATTATGTATTGCTTTTCCTTTTAAAAATATAAATAAATTAAATATAACTTTAGGAGCAGACTTTCTTGTTGGGGTTATGTTTTGGCCTTCCTTTTTTTTATTCATTCTTTTATAAAGTGCTTTAGTGGTCCTCTTTTCTTGTTTTCTTTTTTGACAAGTTTATCACTATTCCTTGCCCCCTTTGCAACAATCAAAAAAGTCAATCAATAATAATTTAAGTGCCTACTATGTACCAGGCAATAAAACCTATGTAATATCTGCAGTCAAATAAATTCCTAAATTGTTAATATCTGAAAAAAAAATCTTGAGTTCATCACTTCTCTGTTGGGAGGTGGGTAGCATACTTCATTATCTAGACCAATGATTTCATTTCATTGGTACAGGGAACTCTTAGGGGAGGAAATTCCTTCTGCCAATGCAAGTTGTCAATGTCTTGGCAACCTAAAGTCATAGAGAATTGCCTAGAGCACCAAGAGGTTAAGGGAGTTGCCCAGAGTCACAGAACAAGTATCTGTCATATTTGTCAGAGGAGAGACTTGAACCTAAAGCCACCTCTGTACCTACATCATTTTGCTTGTCATTATATTATACCATATTACATGTCATTACATGACATGTATATAATGATATTAGCAATAAAGATGATGTCATATGGAAAATGACTACAATTATTAGCTTAACTAGGGGCAGCTAGGTGGCAGAGTAGTTGAGTGCTGGGCTGGAGTCTAGAAGACCTGAGTTTGAATCTAGCTTCAGAAACTTACTAGCTGTGTGACCCTGTTTGCTTCAGTTTCCTCATCTGTAAAATGAGGTGGAAAAGGAAATGGTAAAACCACTATGGTATCTTTGCCAAGAAAACCTCGATGGGGTTAGAAGAGTCGGACATGACTGACATTAGCCTAACTATTGATTCTCTAAATACAAAAACTTTGTCCAATAACCAATGAATTAACATATTAGAGACATCTCTATATTAAAATTTTTATGATAGATGCAACCCAGAGACAAAAACAAGTTACAGCAAATTAGAAGGATAATTTTCCTTGAAGAGACAAAGGATTTGCCAAAGTTGGTTTCATAGTGAGCCCAAAGACAGGATGAAACATAACTACTTAGGTCCTTGGTATTGTCTCCTTCTTGGACCACAGGCAAAAAGACAATAAGGATAATTGCAACTCATGTGCAAACATTCAGGACAGAGAAATTCAATGAAGAAATTGCCAAGATTTTCCAAACTAAATTAATATATAATTTCATCCCTAGTGACTTCAGTATAAAAGTTAGTGATGAGCAAGATAGCACAAAAGTGTGTGAGAAAATGTGGTTCAGGTTTAAGAAAGGAAACAGGTCAAAAGTTTGTCAACTCCTCAGAAACTTTCTTCATGGTGTTGAAAACACTGCATATAGTAAGGATCAAAGAGCATCACAAAAATTAAAATGGATTAAATCTTAGAAGACAGGAAAAACTAGTTACTGATGTGAGAGTCATATCAACACCAGTTTTGTGTGCTTATGTGTGTATTTGTAGCCAAAATATTTAGACAAGTTGTAGCACACATAAAAATCAACATAAAATTAGATGAAAAATGAAGATGAAAAATGAAAATGTGCTTATTTTTGCTGAAGAGGATGAAGCTGAACTGTAAGGAAGAAGCAGTGCTTGTTCACTCCGATGAAGTGTATTGAGACATCTCTGATGCCCTGACAATAACAAGAGAGAGTACTGCTTTGCAGGGGCAGGTATTGAGGACCTGACAAAGAGCCTCCAAAAATGAGTCAAGCCTGCTGAATAAGATGGGCTTCTGGTAATTCATGTGGGCACAAGTGATATGCCCAGAAGAAATTTAGATAACAGGATTATAAAGTCTTAGGTGAGAAACTGCAGACCTTGGGGACACAGATGGTGTTTTCATCACTGCCATTACTATTAAAGGCAAAGGCATTAAAAGAAGCAGGGAGTGAATAGCTGTTTGAGGGAAAAAATGACATCTGGTCCATAGCTTAAAATAAAAGAATGACTATTGGATAAGATGGAGTATACCTATCATGGACTGATAAGGATTAATTTTTGGGGGGGTGAAGAGTCTTGCAAATCTAAACAAAGGGGTTTTAATTTGAAAAGTAATAGAAAAAATAAATTTACATGATAACTTTATTATATATTTAAAAGGGATAGCAAGTTGCACATAATAGATTTGCAGTTTAATGTGCAATCATCTTTTTTATTATGTTATATCATGGAAATCAAGCATTTATCAAGTACCTACTACATATCAGGCTAAGGTACAAAGACTGAAACAGTTTCTACTAACAAGGGACTTATACTCTAATGAAGGAAACAACAAATATACACAGAAATATAAAATGAATAAACACAAAGTAGTTAAGTACAAGTTGGTTTGGGAGGGAGGGTGTTGGAATTTTGGGGGACCAGAAAAGGTTTCATTCAGAAGATGGCTCTTGAGCATCATTTTAAAGGAAAAGGGGGATTTTATGAGATAAAGAGGGATTGCATTCCAGGACCAATACACCAGAAGAAATCAGATTTGGAGTAGATATGTAGATAACAGAGAGGAGAACAGCTAAGTCAGAGTGCAGTAGAGGAAGTTATATCCAGTAAGGCTGGAAAGAAAAGTTGGGGCCAGGCTGGACTGGAATGGGGAGGGACTAAAGTCTTCTGACCTATACACCCACATCCTGGTGAAGGTCCACGGGATGGAAGAACTACTCTAGATTTGGTACTTTGATTAGGCTGGAATAATAAAACTTATTCTATTACATAGTTGCCTCTATGACTTTTAGTTTAATTATGTCTTATAAATATGTGGATATAAGAATATAAATTGAAGATATGGACAATTTTAATACGTCTTCAAGTCTCAGGGGGTCAGAGACTTGGAGTTTTCAACAGCAATGAGTAGGAGAGTCACATGATCAGATCTGCACTTAATTACTTTGTAATTACTTTGGCAGCAGACTAAGATGGACTGGAGTGATGTGAGACTTTAGGCTCCAGCTAGGATTCTGTTTCAATAATCTAGGTGAGAGATGATGAGGGCTTGAGCTTAGGTAGTATCTATGTATGTAAGAAGGAGGGTGTTGGAAGCGAGAAATATTGTTAAGGTAGAAATGTTAAGATTTGGCACTTGATTAGGCATAAAGGGAGTCCAGAATAAGGCTGAGGATACAAACCTGGAAGCCTAGAAGGATGATTGTACCTACAAAAGAAATAGAGAAGTTTGCTGAGAAAATAATAGGAGACAAAAATCTAAGCAAGGAGCCATCGTTTAAATCCTTGGCCTCAACTGTCTATGCACAAATAAACAAAGTAGGGATTTAAAAAAAACCAAGATACTCAAATTAATTTTATTGTTGTTGAGTCGTTTCAGTCATGTCCAACTCTTTGTGACCCCATTTTGGGGTTTTCTTAGAAAAGATACTAGAGTGGTTTGCCATTTCCTTCTCCAGTTCATTTTATAGATGAAGAACTGAGGCAAACAGGGTAAAGTGACTTGCCCAGGGTCACCTAGCAGTAAGTGTCTGAGGCCAGATTTGAATGCATGAAGATGAGTCTTCTTGATTGAGGGACAGGTGCTAGAAATCAAGGAAGGCAGGATCAGTAGCGATAATGTCCTTGGAGTGTACCATAATCCACATGGATAAAAATAAGGAAATAAATTAGTAGTTTGGGGAAAAAAAGATTCCAAGCCTGTTATAGAGGCTGGTTTAGTAGTTTTAGGGGATTTGATATCCAGATGTTGGCTGGAGCTCTCTGTATTCCAAAAGAAGAGTGGCCGAATTGTTCCTTAGTTTACATTAGTTAAATTTCCATCCTACACAGAAGGTTGAGACAGCATTCAGGGAAAGTGTTGTCTTGGAACTCATTCTACCCAAAAGGAGAAACTATTTCTGGAGCAGAAATAATGGGATCCATAGGTAGAAATGATTACTCCATCTTATAATTTGTGATAGAGAAAAAGGAAACTTGGGCATGGTCTGATATATACCTTGCATTTTGGGGAGAATCAGAGAATGAATAATTGGGATCCCAGCAACTGAAATCCTACAGCCCAAGTGGGAATGGAATTTGATAAAAATGAGCTTCTGGAGGAAAAAAAGGAGAAACAATTGCAATAAATAGGAATATAGATGTATACTCATTAAACTTGGATTTCAGTAGGAGACAGGAAATATAAGAAGAGCAGGTAACAGAAGATGAATTCAAGAAGATGGAATGGTCCTGCAAGAATGAGATCAAGACTGATGTTTCAGCTCTCAATGACATAAGAATTGAGAAGAAAGCTAAGGGCTACAGTAAGATGGTTGTTTCATTTGTTTTATTTTATTTAGCTATTCTGGAGAAAAGAGGAAATTGGAGAATTCTTGGAGCACTGCTTGTGGTAGATGAGGCCATGATAAAGGAAGAGAAGGCAGAACTACTCCACTCTTAATTTTGTTTCAATTCTACAACAAGCAAGTGATTATGAAGTGTTTCCTATGCAAGAGGAACTGTGTTTGATGCAGGGGACACACAGAAAAAGAAACTGACCTGTCATCAAAAAACTTATGTTCTATTGGATATTTATCTTGTAAAACGGGTAAGTAAATACATGACCATTTGGAGAGATCACTGATATCTAGGGGGATGAGGAATTATTCCATTTTAGAATTGGCACCCCAGGTGAGTTTTGAAAGAAGTTAATGACCCAAGAGGTAGGGGGAAGGAGTAATAGAGTCAGAAACTAGATTATAAGAAATTGGAAAGTGTGTAGGTGATGAGAAAGCATAGATACTCTTTCTAAAACCTTAGCATTGAAGGGAGAGAATGCATTTAGGAAGGAAAGATAGCAGAGCCAAGTTAGTTATTTTTCTCCCTTTACAACATTCAGACATCTGGAGAGCAGCTAATAGAAAAGGAGAAATTGAAGGTGAAGGGATCACTAGGCAGTTAAATCAAATAGTGGCTAGAGTGCTGGACTTGAAGTCAGGGAGATCCAATTTTCAGCTCTGACACTTTCTAGCTGTGTTACCCTGGGCAAATCACTTAACCCCTGTAAGCCTCAATCTCCTTTTTTATAAAATGAGAATGATAATAGAACCTACCTCAAAAAGTTGTTGTGAGGCTATGAGTTAATGCCTGTAAAGTGTTTTGTGTACTTTAAAGCTCCATACAAATACTAACAGTAGGATGATAATGATGAAATAGTTTCCTGGAGGAGATGGAAGGGGAAGGGATCAAAGACACAAGTAAAGAGATTAGTTTTGATAAAAAGGGGAGCAGTCTCATACTTTGAATCCCAAGCAAAGGTTAAAAACCTAGAGAGGTTTTGAGATGTTGAGGATGGGAGATTAGGGAGCTACTGAGAGGCGACCTTGGTCTTCTCTTTTAGGACAAATCCTGTGGGAAGGGATTAGGAGTTGACTAGAAAGAAGGTTTTATAAAACTGCTGTAGAGAATATGCTAGGGAGTCAATCAGAGAAGCAACAAAATGATTAAAGGCCCAGCTGAGGTTTTGGTTATCCAGTCCCCATGACTTCCCCAGCAGTGTTTGACTACCCTATAATAGGAGTGGAAAAGGCTGATGGTTTGGCTGTTCTATCCAGGGTTGAGAATTGTAGAGAAGGGAGGAACATTAGAAGGACAAGAGGGTGAGGTAGCAAAGAGTGGTGGACAGAGTCTAGCTGAAATGTCTATTTAGATGGTGAAGACTGTGGAGGGAGGGGAGTAAAAACAGAGCAAGGATAATGGAAGTAATTGAGAGGTTGGAGGTTAGAAGTAGGGCTGAAGAGTGAGTTCAAGAGGCATGAGATATGGAGAGATACAAGGACAGAGTGATTTGACTATAGTAGTTGCAAGATAAGAGCTGATATAAGGAATTTCTCCATGAAAGCAAATAAAACAAGGGAAGAGGAGTCAGGAATGAGGACCCGGGGGAAATCATGCAGCAACGGAGCAAGTTCCAAATGACTTGCACTGTCTCCCCTCTTATTTTAACTTTAGGAATTAAATTCATATATAACATTTCCAGTTTGTCAATCTTCCAGTAATTAATTTATTCAGTCTTTTCGCTCATTCAGTAAATATTTGTTAAATGCCTAGCATGTACAAGGAACTACGGTGGGCTGTGGAGTAGGAGAGACAACCTGATGTGGTAGAAAAAGAATTGCCTTTGGAGTCAGGAGACCAAGGTTTAGGTACCAGCTCCAAAATTTACTGCGTGTGGAATGAAGGACAGAGCATTTAACCTTTCTCAGATCTGTTTTCTTCTATTTTAAATGCTGTTAGTAACACTTACAGGTAGTAATGCCTCACTTCCTAACCCCACACATTAGTTTGTTTTGAACCTGTGATTTCAAATGTGAATTACTATTCACTGCTCTTAAAAACAAATTATGACCTGCTAGGGGGAAGATAAGAAATCCTGGCTTCACTTCTTACTACCAGACCGCACCTTGGTTATGTACATATCAAGGCCTGTTTTCTCGTCCGTAAGAGAGAGAGAAAGAGAGAGTTGTATCATTGTAAAGACAAGTAACTTTGAGAGACTTAAAAACTCTGATGCATGTAATAACGAACGATAATTCTTAAATACATCACGATGATGAAGCATGCACCTGCCTCTTGACAAAGAGGTTATGGATTCAAATTGCAGAATGAGACGGATTTTTTGGACGTTGCTAATTTTGGAATTTGTTTTACCTGAATTTGAGTATTTGTTACAAGGGTTTAGTTTTGATTTTTTTTTTATTTCTTCCTTTCTCCCTCCCCACCTGGGATAGCAGAGGGGCAAGGAGATGGGAGGGAGAGAAAAAAGATTTTTGTTCAATGAAAAAATAATCTTTCTAGAAAGGGGTTGGGCTAGGTGACCTGTTTAAAGCTCCTTTCTAGCTTAAATCTACAATCCTTTCAAACCTATGTACATGGATAAGTATAATATAAATTGTATTATAAGTACATAAAAAAGCACGTCCTATAAGATGATTCCTCATAAGATAGAAATTCAACAACATTCTACCCCCAACCCAGCTGCAGTAACAGCAGACCAAATGCCTCTTAACCAGATGTTGTCTATTCCAACTTTGTGCCTGGATTCCTTTATCTGCAACTTATAATACAGTTGCAAAGGAAAAGGTACCAGCTGTGTTATGAATAAACTTGCAGGGTCGTGGAGGCATGCATTATATCAGATCCGGCTGACTACTCATTTGCGGAACAGAGGCTGGAATCAATCAGACAGCCACCACCAGCATGCCAGTCTTTTTTAATGATAGCCTATTGATTTAGAAAATAAAGTGTGGCTTGATTGCAGTGGCATACATCCTAGATATGTGGACAAGATCATCTTGTCATTTTCAGTACCCTGAATTCTGGAAGGCACTGCAGTAAGAACTTAGCAACATTGTGCACAGAGAACCTTCAGGAAATGAGGAGATTTAGAGGCAACATTCAGCCTTCCACAGTCACATATTTACTGACATCAATACCATATAATGTGAAAAAAAACATTATAGGGAATCTGTCTTTGCAGAATAATCACTGTGGTACCACATATGGGAGAATTTTCATTGAAAAATTAACTAGGCACTTATTAAGGAGGCAGCGGACTGTATTGGAAGTCAGAGGGACTGGGTGTAGATAATGGCTCTGCTGCATATTACCTATGTGACTTTGGCCAAGTGATTTAAACTCTCTGGACCTCTGTTTAATTATCTGTAAAATATATGTGGGTGGTGTTAGTGAATCAAGTCCCCCCTTTTAGTTTTAAATCCTTTGGTTTCATCTCCAGGTGAGAATATTGTATGAAATCAGTGGCATAGTAGAAAGAGCTCTGGAATCAGAAGTTCTGGGTTCAAATCTCATCTCTGACAGCTTCTACCTGTATCACTGAGGAAATCACTTCATCTCTCTGAGCCTCAGTCTCCTCATCTACAAAATGAAAATGTTGGGCTAGATGACTCTAAGTCTCTTCCAGCTCTAGGCAGGTGAACTTGTCTGAATTAGTCACACTTTTCTGGGCATAACAAAGAGTACTTAGGGTGTCTAAGATTTTATTGCTATGTGTGCATAGATAACCAGGAAGCAAAATGCTGGTTGGTTTTTTTTTTTTTGTGGGAATGATCTGTGACTTCCACAGCATAAGAAATTCCTTTCATTAATGGAAATCAAAACTAGTCTATGATGCAGTGGATAAATCGAGCCCTGTGGAGTTGTCTGAGGAGCATAAAGGTTAAGTGATTTGGCAAGGGTGACGGAGCAGGCAAACATCAGAAGCATAATTTGAACCCGGGATAGCTTGACTACAAGTTCAGCATGCCATCTGCTAGTGCAACACTACCTCTTCGTGTTCTATAACAGGAAATTAAGTAGAATCAGAACAATAGGTATTTATTCATTCAAGAGACAGTAAATAGAGAAGCCTGCTGAGAAAGGAAGGTTTGGAGAACAAGGGCAGATGGGGCTGGAAAGGCAGCTTGGACAGAATGCAGAGAGTTGAGGATTCTGGAATAACATGATTAGACTTTATTCTACAAGGAGAGCTACTGAAAACTTCTGGGCAGGGAAATAAGTTAATGAGAGTGGACCATGAAGAAAGATAAATCTGACAGTGGTCCTCAAGATGTATTGGAGCGGAAAGAGAGTGGTAACAGGAAGATCCCATTAAGGAGTGGTGGCAATCATTCATGTGTGAAGGGAAAGAGACTATGTAGTGGAAATAAAGCTAGATTTGGAGTCAGAAGAGTTGCATAATAAAACTAGATTTGGAGTCAGAAGAGTTGCATTTGAACCCTGGGTCTACTATTAACTGTGGGACTTTGGGCAAATTCCTTTACTTCCATAGTCCTCAGTTTTTCCATCTGTAAAACAAGGGTCTAGATTAGATGATACCTTAAATTCTCTTCAAGTCTTAGGATCTTATGATCCTATAATTCTGCGGTGGTAATACAAAGAAGAAGGAAGGAAGGAACAGATGTGACAGACAGTACGAGGACAAAAATGACAAAGCATGTCATATTACAAAGCTGGATATTAAGGGGGCCATAAGATGGAAGTCACCAAATTAGACAGTATGAGAACTCTTATAGCAAATGAATCCAAAACTATTACTTTGTACAGAATCCAAAACTATTACTTTGCACATGAGGAAAATTAGGCTGAGGAAAGTTAAATGATTTGACTAAATGCACAGAGTGGTAACACGAAGTCTAGAACTTGTGTCTTCTAACCTCCATTCTGGTATTGCTTGATCATATTACACAAAAATAACCAACCGCTTTACCCGCTTACATCCTGGATCCTACAGCCATTGTCTGGGAGAGCAATCTTTTGGAGGTGAGAATATAAGGAGATCTGAAGAGAAATAGTGAGATACAAAGTTGTAAATGTAAGTTGGAGCCAAAATCATGGAGCTCCTTGAATGTTAGATGCAAGAGTCTAAGTCATTAAAATTTTTTAAGCCTTCTCCTTCTTCAATGAGCTCAGTTTTTGGCTCACACTCTTTGTCTTCACCTCAACTCCTGCCCTTGTGATAAAGGACTTTAACATACATATTAATGTTCTCTCATTTGCCCTCACCTCATTTTCTCACTCTACCCATTTCTCCAGACACTCTGCCTCAGCAGCACACAAAAATGGTCACACCTTTGATCTCATCATCACCCACTAGTATTTCACTTTCATGTTCATGAACTCCAAAATTCTTTCATTTGATCATATTATTTTATCATTCTATCTCTTTCTATGTTTCTCCATCCTACTTTTTGGTCCTCATCATGACCTCAAATCCCTTCATTCTTCAGTCTGTTCACAAGCTATCACCTCTGTACTGGCTACATTTTTTTCCCCTTCCCTACCTTGACCCCTTAGTAAATCAGTCCAACTTTACATTATCCTTTACATTTGAATCTATTCGTCCTTGTCCAGATAACAGATCATACCTTGTCAAAACTCAACCTTTGGTTACACATACCATCCACCTCCTTTGCTCCTATTCATATGCTTTTGAATGGAGATAGAGAAAATGATGAAACCATACTCACTGGGTTCACAACAAATTTATGTTACATAATCTCAACTGGACCCTTACCACTAAAGAGCCCTTTCATGCTTCTCTAATTGATTAATAATACAACTCTCTTCAGTGGTTATTCCAACCTTTTTATCTTCCCTCAAATGTTCCATGACACCCTTTCCTTCCATCCTCTCAACCGATGACCTTGACTTATACTTCACCAAAAAACAAAATAGTAGAGGCCATAGAGGAGAGCTGCTCTTCTCCCCTTCTCCTCATCTCGAATCACTTAGGCATCTTCTCCTACTATCTTCTCCTGCATCCCTGTTATGCATGGAGAGACAGGGCTTCTTCTTGCCAAGGCAAACACCTCAGTATGTACCCTTGATTCCATCCCTTCATCTTTTCTCCAGCATGTCCAGAAAGCTCTCTTTCCTCACTTTTCCCTCCTGGATGTATTGGCTTCCTTCAAGGATTATCTCAAATCCCACTTTTTGCAGGGTGTCTTTTTCTCCCCGCCCTCTTCTTTGACTGTTAGTGTCTTTTCTCTGACATTACTTTCCATTTAATATATATGTATATTTAATATACATGTATATTGGTTTATGCATATATGTGTGTATATCTATCATTATATACATAATCATTTGCTTGTTGTCTGTCCTATTAGACTGTAATCTCCTTCTGGGGGAGAACATAATTTTTGCTTTCTTTTTTATTTTTTCTATGCTCAGAAATTAGTACAGGGCCTGGCATATAGTAAGTCTTTAATAAATGCTCCCTCACTGACAGGGAGTGATATCATTAGAGCTATGCTTTTTTTTAATGTTAAAAATCAATCCAGGTATTTATTTTTACATACTATAAAATATTTATCATTATCATTTACTTTTTCATAGGACACAAAATGTTTTGAATTAATTTTTGCTCACCAAACACATTAATAGTTTGATTGAATTGATCGGTATAATGGAACATTTCAATGTGAGAAAGAAAGTCTAAATATAACATAATTTTTTCTGATCCTAAGACATATCCTACTCATAGAAGTATCATTAAATGAAACATGCTGCAATTTTAACATGTGAGAAATAAGGAAAAGAACCTTACCAATTAAAAACAAAAAAGAATGAAGATCAAGACACCAGCAGATTATCCAGCTGTTTTGTTTTGTTTTCAAGCTACCATTGAGAGCCAGAAAGAAGTTTGCAACAGCTGAACAACAGTTTTTGCGCTGACTTTCATCATAATGCAAAGGTATGTACATTTCCTCCCAGGTACCTGGGGAGCATCAGCATTAGAATGCCATTCAGGTGGAAGCTGAAATTCTATTGTGTTGAAAGGATAAGCTCCCATAGCGGAAGATTAAGGAAAATAGTTGTGAGACAGTGTCTTCCAGAGAGAGCACTATGTGGAATTTGAAGACGGTCTGGGTAGGGAGAACTGCAAACTAATAAAACTATTCAGGATTAGAAAAAGAACATGTCAAATCTCATTCAAATACAAAGTTGAAATCTTTCAAATATAATTTTGATACTAAAGTACTTACCAAGACTATTCCATGAAAAGATAAACTCTAAAAACAAAAGCCAAATTTGTCATTCAAAGAACCCTTGAGCTTAAATCTGTCATCAGAAAGTTGAACATGCACCCATGGAAGTAGTGAAAGTCTTTCCTCTCTCTCTCTCTCTTTCTCCAATCTGGGTATGAAAAATAGCATTTATATCACCTAAAGGATATCTTAATGTTACTGTGTACTATATGTAAATGATAGACACCACCCACAGTTTCCTTTATACAGTAGTCTTTGTCCATTGAACTGAGAATAAAAATAAGATAATGAAAATTCTTTAAAACATAAAGATTTTAGCAGCAGAGACAGTTCTCTCCAGTGAGAGGTACAAATTCAAATTCTCCTTTGTTTTCTCCCAGCTAGTGAGAGCAACGGATAACTGTTGCCCACACATCCTGTGTGTTCCTTTAGTATCCTCACAAAGTCCTGGGAAATAAGGGAAGGTCCCTGACATGTTAGGGTGGACCTCTTGTGGTGAATTTATAGGAAGACACAGACACATAGAATAGATGGGCATGGATAGGCAATGGTCTATGTCATGAAAAGCAAAATCTTCATTCTCTTCTTCTTTCTCCACCCAGATGACAGCATAAAGCAGAAGAAATTAAGACATTTCCTACAACAAACTGAGGGCTTCAAAAAGCCCAAAGCATTTCTAGAATGGTATCCAACTAGGCTATATGTTACAGATTGTATGTTGGATTTGATGTAAGGGGATTTGATGTAGTCCTCCCTGTGAGACCAAGCATAATGAAAGTATAAATATGTCTTGTCTGAAAACTGCTTTATAGATGGCAAGAGTAGAAATCTATTCTTTACATAAATCATGAACTGGACACATTCAAAAGAAATCATATGAATGGAATGTTAAGATGTATCTTATAGCTGGGATATGAGCAACTGACGTAAAAGTTTCATATGAAAACAATAAATGGACATCAAAATGGACCTAATTTAGTTTTCTTTTTGAAGGCCTTCCAAATCAGAAATAACTTATAGTTTTGATTGAAACAATAAAAATTTGTGTCGGAAGAGTGCTATAAAACTAAAAAATAGAAAAATAAACAATATACATTATACAAAGAGACTTTGAGGGTTCCCTCCACTCCCAGCCCCTGGCAACTGCCATGAGACCAGGAAGATAATTTTAGCCTATGCAAATGACGTGATGCTTTGTTTCTGACTTGTTGAGCTAACCTGTGGACCCTGGAACTGACTATCCTACTTTTCTGCTCTTATAGTTGTGAATAAGAGAATCCAAAATGCTGTTGTTGGAACCAATCAGTAGTCCTTGTGGGGTTTTAGTTTCAGCTTTCCAAGGTTCCCTATGACTGAGATACAGAAGGGGGAGGCACAAGGCACAGAGAGATAGAGACAGGAAGACAGAGCCAGAGAGACAGAGACCCTGTCCTAAATGAAGCTAGAGCATAATAGGGAAGGTCCTAGGGATGACTGACAGTCAACCTGTAAGAAATAGATCTTTTTGCATGCTTTATAATCCTGACTAATTATAGGACAGCCCATCATGTATGAGGACACACATATAGAACTCTTGCATTATTCTATATGAAAATGCAACCAAGATCACAGGGTGTACTGGGGAATTGAATTGGTAATAACCATTTTTGGTTTTGAATTTATTTTCCTTTTGAAATTACAGAAAATCATGCTACAAGAGCTCTAGCAAGTATTGTTTGTAAGTTGGAAGAAAAGACACCTCTTATTGGCTAAGCCCCACAGTACTACATGGAACAAAATGAGCACCTGACCTAGTAGCCAACCTGCTGGTGATGTCCTTAGCCAGGCTGGTGTTCAGAAAGCAGACCTGGTTTGGCATAGTACTTGAAGCCTTTTCAGCCCTGCAGGGACTGCCAGGTCTCAGTCTCTATTGATATAGTCTTTAAGAATCCTAAGTCACCTCCATATGACAGTGAAGGTCCTGAATGTCTAATTTTGCGACATGTAAATGGATTTCAAATTCTTCTGAAAAGTTGTCACTGAGATCAAATTATCATTTTGCTTTGGGGTCTCTGCTTCCTGATTTGAGACCAAGTCTGTATCATAGCATAAAGATAAACTTGAATATCTTTGGATGTATTAGGTGGGGTCAGGGACAACCTAATACATCCCAAAAAAGTAGTTTTTGTGTCTCATATTTGCATTTTAAAGTGAAGTTGAATTGTTAATTAAATAAGTTTAGAAAAGTTTTAGTTTCCTGGCCTGGGGTCAGAAAGACTCATCTTCCTGAGTTCAAATTCAGCCTCAGACACTTACTAGTTGTGTGACCCCAGGCAAGTCACTTAACTCTGTTTTCCTCAGATTCTTCATCCGTAAAATGAGTTGGAGAAGGAAATGACAAAGCACTCTCCTGTATCTTTGCCAAGAAAACCCCAAACGGAGTCATGAAGAATTGGATATGACTGAAATGACTCAAAAAAAAAATGGAGTATTCAATAAATCTTTGCCTTTAGAAACTAGAGGGAAAATTCCCAAGTGCATACACACCCTGTTGGAATATACTATGCACATGTAAAAAACAATATAATATTAAAATAAGTCAAATGAAATTGGTTAGTCCATTGCTAAGAGTAGAGAGTGATGGGGGGGGAGAAGAGGAGGAGGAGTAGGATAGTACTGTGATAATCATTACTCTTGCAAGTTCAATTCAAGGGAATTTAACTGAGAGCCTGAATTGACATTAATGGAGGTCTTTTCTAGCTTGTGATACTCACACATCTGAGAAACTTCGTTATCAGCCACACAGGTAAAGCTGGCAACTAACACCTCACTTATGGAGTGAATGAGCTCACTAATTTGGTGAGGGTCACTGGCATTAATGGTACCACTATAAAGCTGCCTGCTCATGACCCTTGGGATGACTAAGTGGTTGAGAAGGTAGAAGAATCAAACAGTCTCTCTGAATAGGGCACAGTTCATTTCCATCCCATTTAATTTTGGAGGCAGGCCATGCTTGCCTCATTGAATTCTACTATTCCTTTAGTTGTGTTCTTGTTTCATAGAAGTTGCTTCCTTTTTCTTTTCTTTATTTGAGCAGTTCTCTAGACTTTGTTTCACATAAACTGTAATACTATTACTAGAGTAAAGGCAAAAATGTACTGCCTTTAGACTAAAAGGGATTATTTTACTCTGCATAGCCAAAGTCAGATCAAGGCCCTTTTTGGGTAGTAATTTAGGATAAAAGATATTAGTCTGAATTATTTAAGCCATTACTTGTAATTTAAACAAACAGTTGGTCTTGACTTACCCAAGTAGTTAATTGTTGGCTTTCTGTTTTGCTTTTGCTCTGTAGACTGGCTGGAAATGCACAAATGCAGTTCAATCAACAAGTATTTATTGACTGCCTAATATATGCAAAATCTTTTGGCAATAAGATGACCTTTTTCTTTGATAGGTTATTTAGAGTCATAGAATTTCCGGGGGGCGGAGCCAAGATGTTGGAGTGAAAGCAGTGACTTGCTTGAGCTCTTCCCCAAACCCCTCTAAATACCTACAAAAAATGGCTCTAAACAAATTCTAAAGCAGCAGAATCCACAAAAAGACGGAGTGAAACAAATTTCCAGCCCAAGACAACCTGGATGGTTGATCAGAAAGGTGTATCATGCAGGGCAGGGAGATGAGCACAGTTTGGTGTGGGCTCGCAGGCAAGGCAGGCTGCAGTGAACCTGGAGCAGGCCTCAGAGGACTGAGTCATGGGCAGCTGTGGTGGTTTCCAGACTTCTCAATCCCAGAAAGCCAAAGACAACTTAGAAGGTCAGTGGGAAAAGTCTGTGTTTCTGCTGTGAGAGAGAAGCTAGATCTCAGGCCTCAGTTCCCAGGTGAACTGTGGCGCTGGGTGGTGGTGGCTGCCTCCTGAGCTTCTGGCCCACAGACTGAGAGGGAATCAGGTGGCTCATGAGAGGTGGATTGCAGGGACCTCTTTGCCAGTGCTGAGGCAGGAATCTCTTGCTTTGCCCATTCTTAGATGTGGGTCACAGTTCTGAGGGCGGTCCTGAGCTGAGAAAGAGTGATGGCATTGTGGTGCTTGTGGTGGCTGTGGAAAGAAAATCTCCATCACAGTTCTAAGACAGAAAAGAGTGTTTGTGGTCACTCATAGACCAGAACACAGGCCAGGAAAGAAGTAAATACCTTGCCCCTTATCATACCACCTTTGAAGAACTGAAAATTTACAGATCCCTAGAAGTATCTCTGAAAACAGCTACAAAAAACCCTAAAGCTTGGGAATTACATTCTCCACACTGGAAGCAGACCTCTACCTTAACAAAGAGTTTAAAACTCAAATAATTGGCTGGGATCATGAAAGCAGCAAAAAAGTCAGACCATATATCTTACTTTGTAAAAGAAGATCAAAACATACAACCAGAAGAAGACAACAAAGTCAAAGCTCCTACATCCAAAGGCTCCAAGAAAAATATGAATCAGTCCCAGGCCTTGGAAGAGCTCAAAAGGGATTTTGAGAAGCAAGTAAGAGAAGTAGAGGAAAAACTGAGAGTGATGCAAGAAAATCATGAAAAAAAGTCAATAGCTTGCTAAAGGAGATCTCCCAAAAAATACTAAAGAAAATAACACCTTAAAAAATAGCCTAACCCAAATGGCAAAAGAGGTCCAAAAAGCCAATGAGGAGAAGAATGCCCTAAAAAGAAAATTGGCCAAATGGAAAAGGAAG